AAACATCAGACCATGTTATCTTGAAGAGAAAAATCTACAGATGATGGTTAGTTTGTTACAAAACAATTACTTACCAAGTCAATGTGTTTTGTTTTATTCATTTTTTAATTACTAATTTTATTATTGGTGCTTTTCTGCACTTGCATTGTGATTTGTAGGATGTATAATATGAAAAAATTGATAAGGAAGTTTCCACACAATAAAAGGTAAAACAGGGGGTAAAAAGGAAAATGTGAAGTTTGAATTCTAGAGTCATTGACTTCTGTGCAAAATAAAATCCTTGACTGCAGAAACTAAGAATGGGAAGATTATGAATTAAAAAAACTTAGGAAACTGAGATCACATAATGCAATAGCAATACAGCATTAACCAGTTTAGTTTGTTATCCATTGAAAGGAAAGCACAAAATAAACTCACTTGTTATATGCCAGCCCACCAAAGTGGCTCATAGAAATATGAATAGCCTCCAACACCTATAAAAATAATTAGCAAATATAATAAACGTATGTTCATCCAACTTCAAAGTGAAAAATTGAACAATTTAAGGCAGACTATACAATAAGTGACACTTAAAAAAAAGAAACTCACTTGTTGTATGCCAGCCCACCAAAGTGGCTCATACACTATACTTTTATATCTATACTTCTATCCTATCTATCTATCTATGGTATGAACACTTTTGTCACAATTTTTCTCATTTCTAAACTGTCCTTCTATAACTGTAATTGTCAAATTCAAACAAACCTATGAATTCTTTTAATATTTTATATATATGGGAAAACATCTAACCTAATACTGCACATTGAAGGCAAACTTAATACCAGTGGTGATAGACTCAGATAACACACAATCAATCAGTAAAGAAACACATTACACTTACAAAGTGGAAAATTGTTCATGGCATGCTAAACATAATCTATGTTTTGGCCATTACCGTAGCCAAAAAAAATGACAGAACATAAATATAATCTATCTATGGAAAAGAATGACTAATTAATTACACATAATAATGACCAGGAGAAAGACAAAGATTTTAACAAATTCTGACCAGGAGAATTTGAGCAAAGCTCACACTTCAATGATTGTGTCAAATAAACGCTGAAACACAGATTTTCCACTTAAATAAACGCTGCCTTTTAGTAATGGAAACACAGATTTTAACACAAAATTGTTATATATAAAATTCTGAAACACAGATTTTCAAATTGACTGAGTTACACAAATTGACTGAGTTACACTTTGCCTTAAATAAACTCTGCATTTTAGTAAGGAAACACAAATTTTCCACTCAAATTGTTATTAAATAAACTTTGCCTTTTAGTAATGACTACAGGAAGTCAAATTTGATTTAAGAACAACACTTCGATGACTTCAGAATTTGACTACAGGAAGTCAAATTGTTTCAACAACACTTTCTTTGTCTTTCTCTTAGATTGAGTTATTTTAGCACTTTCTTTAAAAAAACAGGAAACAGTTGCCAATATGCAATAAAATGCCGAGTTTACAACGGTGACAATGAACTAACCCAGCAGCCAATAAACAAAGTGATGATCTAACCCAGTTGCCAAAGTGATGTCGAGCCGGAGTGATGAACTAACCCAGCAGCCGATAAACTAACCCAGTGCCAAAGTGAAACAGTTGCCGATAAACTATCCCAACTAACCTAGTGCCAAAGTGATGAACTAACCCAGCAGCCGAAGTCATGTCGAGTCGGAGTGAACAACGGTGAGAGTGGAACGGTGTAAGCTCTGATGAAGGCTCTGTGTAAGCTCTGATGAAGACTCTAATGAAGGCTCTGATTTGAACAACGGTGTAAGCTCTGATGAAGACTCTGATGAAGGCTGTGATGAAGGCAAAAGCTAAGATTTTCAAAAAAAATCAAGAAGAAGAACGGAGAGGAATAGAGAGATAGAGAGGGCAGACAAAGAAACATGCATATGCTTAAATGTGTGGTACAGTGTGTAATTCATGATTTTTCTTGGCATATGGATTACTATACCTTGAACATGCTTCATTTTTTGAAATTACATTAGCGCCATGAGATTATATTGAGTTTAACCTATTATGAGCAATATTTGGTATTCTACATAATGCTTGAGATATGATTGTTAAATCTTCTAGATTGCATATTGGTATCCTTGGTATATTGCATGTTGGTATCTGTGGGGAAGTGGTTTTTGAAAATACTCTTCTGATTCTGGGGGACGCTCGTGATCTACCGATAGGCACCTGAAAGGAAGTAAACACTCCGGTCGGGGGTGTCGGAATTAGCACTCTGACGGACAAGTCAGTCTCTCGTTCTAGATTACTTGTATTCTAAGTTAAACACCACAATTATCACATACCTTTCTCAGTCTGCTATTCCTTTATTTATACTCGTTCTCTGGGCCTTGGGGCCAGGTCCACTTTTCGCTCATTATGTTCGTATTTACCCGACTCCACAGCTCAGTACCTATTCGGCATATTCTGTAATAAACCAATCTTCACTTGGCCCCTTGCTTAATCGACTATCTAGCCGAATAAGGATGGGTCCGAGTTTTCGTGGCAATGGCCAAATGTTTAGAATCTTGATTCTTGAATGTTCGACTCTCTGGAATCTCTACGACTTCCAATATTTGGCCCCCACAATTGCCCCCCAAGCACTCTAGCGGCAGTTGGCTAGAGTGTTTGGCTTTGAACTTGAAGAGTCAGAGCCGAAAATCGGCGGCTGATCGTATTCCAACGCGAATGTCTGTCCACACGCTTCAAGGTTATCATTTCAACTTCCCGCCTCTTCGTACACTTTCATTTATTGTGATTTAAAATTTCGACGTCTTTTCAAATAGATACACGCTTTTAGACGCCCGTCGCTGGATTGCCTTCCGAACTACCTTTGCGACCTCCTACTCTTCTCTACCTCTTTCGCCACTTGTAAGTTCTCTCCTTCTTTGCTTTGTTTTTTGGCTTAGCATAATCATATTGGCTGAGGAGAATGGCGAAACATTTAAAAGATCTCCTCTCATCGGATCGAATTTCTAGCTTCTGACGTCATTTTTCCATCCCCGATGACGTCCGTCTATCTTTTGTGGTAGACGACACCCTTGATAAGGAGAGGGTTGATGAAAACACCATCATCTTCACTCTTCTATCAATCACAGAGGGCGGGGTCCATTTCCCCCTTCACCCACTCCTTACGGCCATGCTTTACCATTGGGAGTTAATCCCTTCGCAGCCCAACATCAATTTCTTTAGGGTTGTGATGGGGATTGTCGCACTAAACCATTGCCTTGGGCTTAACCTTGGCATCCCTGCTATTTGGCATTGCTACGCCTTGGCCAAGTCTTCTGGTCGACACGGGCGTTATTTGCTTAGAGCCAAAGACACCGACCATCAACTAGTGACTATGCTTTCCAGCTCTGGGAAGCGAGTCAATGATGTTATGGTCGTCGTCCAAGGAAAACACCATCGTCTTCACTCTTCTATCAATCGTAGAGGGCGGGGTCCATTTCCCCCTTCACCAACTCCTTAGGGCCATGCTTTGCCATTGGGAGTTAATCCCTTCGCAGCCCAACATCAATTTCTTTAGGGTTGTGATGGGGATTGTCGCACTAAACCACCGCCTTGGGCTTAACCTTGGCATCCCCGCTATTTGGCATTGATACGCCTTGGCCAAGTCTTCTAGTCAGCACGGGCCTTATTTCCTTAGAGCCAAAGACACCGACCATCAACTAGTGACTATGCTTTCCAGCTCTAGGAAGCGAGTTGATGGTGTTATGGTCGTCGTCCAAGGAAACTGGGAATTCGGTGAAAGCGAGGATCGCCTTGATCGTATTCCTAGATGGAGGGGCGAACTAGGTGGCCTAGTATCATCTTTTATTCATTTTTTAAATTTATAAAGCTTCGTTTTTGGGGCCTTATGATTTTGCTTTTGCAGGGAACGATTTGAAGAAAATCTTGACCTCAACTGACGACGTCGTCCTTTCAGAAATCAAGACTACGCTCAGGTACTTCAGCCGACGGAGTCTTCAGAAGCAGCGGAGGGCGGCCCACGTTCTGCTCCGCTACGAGCCGACTTATACGACCTTTTCGGCGGCGGAAAATATCCCAATTCCGATTGGTGAGGAGTTTCTTTTCGCCCGTATCTTGACTAACTTCAAAAATTTGAGGCAAGTCGGCTGCGAGGAATAGGAATGGCAACGGGACGGGGCGGGGCCGGGGACCATACTCCCCGTCCCCATTCCCGTCCTCGATCCCTGACGGGGACCCCATATCCCCCCTCGCCCCCGCTCCCGATCAGGGATTGGGTATCCCCGACCCCGCAAATTCCCTGACCGAATTACAGTTTTTTTTTTTTTTAAAAAAAAACAATTTTACAATCTGTCACAATTTTAAGATTTTGTACATGTTTCGAAATTAAAATAATCTGTACATGTTTTAAAGAATCTGTACAATCTGCCACACAATTTTAAGAATCTGTACATGAATTTTCAAAAAACAATTTTAAGAATCTGTACATGTTTTAAAATTAAAATAACTTTCATCCTATCACAAAGAACTTTAAAAATTCAACATAATCTGCACATGTTTAAAAAATCCTATCGCACACAACTTTCATCCTATCACAAAGAACTTAAAAAATTTAACATAATCTGCCAATATATACAATCTGTCCAGCAGCATCTGCCAATATATACAATCTGCCAAAAATTCAACATAATCTGCCAATATATAATCTGCTAATATATGTCAACAAATTCAATAAATCTGTCCAGCAGCATCTGTCAAAAACACAACCCAAACACAAACCATCCTGTAGCAACAAAATAACACAAACAAAACAACTGCCCAGCAACCCACACACACAAGAAAATTCAACAAGTAGCAAAGTTAATAATTAATCCCAAGCACAACCTGCAAGGGATAGGTTACCCAAAAATTGAAATTAAAAATTAAAAAAAAATCCATTACAACATAAAAAATAAAATCCATTGTTTGTCCAATACCCATACAAACCACACAACACTCATCATCTCCCTTCAACTTAAATTCCTGTTAAATAACAAAAGGAAAAAAATAAATAATTAATACTAATAATAAAATGTAAAAAATGTTAACAATTAAAACAAAGTGGAGTTTTGAAAAAATAATTACAAATCAGTAAGAAACTTTATAAATATCAATAATGAAAATTGTAAACAATATCTCACACATCAAGATAATCTTGACATTCTAGCTCTAGAGACATCTCCCAGTTCCAAACAAGATCTCACACATCAACCCATATGTGAAATCAACATGAATACATTAATGTTATGTTTGGAGAAAGATATAGCTGAGTCAAATGATGCATCAAGGAAGAGTTCAATTCATAACTGGACCAAATTAATTTCCTTGGTTGACACATGAATTCGAAGGGGAGTTCAAGAATGATAGTTACGAAATCTTTCAGAAGCACAATATTTTCATTTTAGCTAATCAAAATTTAAAAACAAAGGTAAATCCTGGAGCATTAACTGACAAGCATTGCAAGTATTATCTGAAGAAACTAATTTATCAAAAATAAATAAATAAATTATCCGAAGAAACTATACCTTATGCAGTAGTCATATTTAGCAGGAAAGTCAATCTTAGTCATAAAAACCTCATCAAATCCACCATCTCTACATTTATCGATGCAACCAAGTGTCAGAGCAGCTTCATCTAGCAGCTGGAATTATGAGAGAAGAAATATAATATTTAGATTAGTGCACTACCTCAAAAATTGGAGACAAACATGGATTTATGTCTATATCTAAAGTCATATAAACCGAAGGTTAATACGATTGCAATAGTACCCCGAGAAAACCACTCCTTGTCATGCGAAATGTCAAATTAAAGCCAGCAAATGGATCGCATATGATTAATGGAAATGATTGTAAAGATGTCCTCCTTTCCTGAAAATCAAAAGTTCAGAAAAGATAATTACATGAGCTATAATGTAAAGATAAAAGGCTAAACCACAAGTTCAGAGGAAGAATACAGTAAACTAACACCCAGGAGCTGAAGGGATCATAAGATGAATTTCTGGGCTTAAAGAAGATAAAATATTTGAACTCTATGTATTCTGATGAAGACGTAGTTCAAGTCCAGAGGTTGGCAATATTATCGAGACTAATTGGCTGAGAAGTATATTTATAGGTATAAACTTCATGATTGTTGACCCTGCTATTGCAATTGATTTTCTTCCATGTGTGTGTGTGTGTGAATTAAGAGATTCCTCATCAGCACTCAACTGTAAAATGAAAATAAGGAAACTAAACCCAATTTGAACCATGGCCCATAACTTGCTCCGCATCCCCCCAACCCGGAAATGTAAATATATATATTATATACATCAGTATCATAAAGGTCATGAAGAAACATACCTTCAAAGTATTGCTCTCACCTTGAGGCTGGAAGAAGAGCCCAGTTCCCCATAATTTTGAAGTGGCTGCAAAAAAAAAAACAAACAGAAACAAAAAAGAACTTTCGTTAATACACAAACATACCATTTGCTAAATGGTTATGAATTCTTGTGCACAACAGAGCTAGCTGTCAATTGAAAATGGAGACAAAAAAATAGTTTCATTGCAAATCCTACAAGATATGCATTTACAGGGAAAATAAAAGTACCGGTGAAGTTGTTGAGCTTGTTATTGGCCTGAGCGCGGTTAGCGAAGAGATCAGCGCTTTTAGGGTCGAGATTAATCGCCTGCGCATAGAGAAAAAAAAATTTAGATATACTCAGTCTCAGATATACAGATCTAAAATAAACAGATCTATATACTCATATATATATATATATAATATACATATATGTAAACCCTAGATCCAAATCCCTAGAAAGAGAGAGAGATACCAGCGACGGAGGAGCGTCGGACCGTCGGTGAGGAAGGATCGGAGGATCGCTGGTGAGGAGGGAGGCGCGGCGGTGACAGATGAAAAAGAGAGGGAGAGACCAGTGGCGAGCGAGAGAGAGAGAGTAGCGCCGTGTGTGAGTGAGAGGCTCGGTGGTGACGGAGGATCGCCGGTGAGGAGGGAGGCGCGGCGGTGACCGATGAAAGAGAGAGGGAGAGACTAGTGGCGATGGCGAGCGAGAGAGAGAGAGAGAGGAGTGCCGTGTGAGTGAGAGGCAGAGGCTGTATGTTTGTGTCTCTGTGTGTCAAACCCTAAACAAATATATATAGCCACAGATGAAAGAGAGAAGGAGAGACTAGTGGCGATGGCGAGCGAGAGAGAGAGAGAGAGAGGAGCGCCGTGTGAGTGAGAGGCAGAGGCTGTATGTTTGTGTCTCTATGTGTCAAACCCTAAACAAATATATATAGCCAGGGACAAAACTGTAATTTCACCTCGGGGATTAAGCGGGGCGGGGCCGGGGTTGAGGGTCGGGGCTGAGGCCGGGTCTGAAACACCTATCCCCGTCCCCAACCCGGATATCATCGGGGATGAATTTTTGAATACCATCCCCGGCCCGTAGGGAATATTTTTCAGTGAATAACCATTGAATTCGGGGTCGAGAGGTCGGGTCACCGTCGGGTCGGTTTCAGATTGCCATCCCTAGCGAGGAATCAGATTCGGAGCGACTGGAAGTAGCTGAGGCCGCCGAATCAGACGAAGCCGAAAACAGAGATTGACGAGGCTTTGAAATTAGCATTTGAGGAAGTCGGCCTCAATTCAGCTGATAATTCGTCCACTTCGGGTCGAGAGGACCGTCCACTTGACGATACTTTTTAGGGTCTGGAGGATCTTCCCAGCGCGTACCCAGAAGATATGGCTAGGCTGAGCCTCACTAAGCTTGCCAAGAAAGCAAACGCGGAAAGGCTAGCTGCGCAGCGGAGGGCAGAGGAGATTCGGGCTGCCGAATCTCAATCTCAGTCTCAGTCCTCCCTGCCCGTTATTGAGGAAGTGACGGCAAAAGGAAAAATCATCGAAATGGAACCCTTGGTGCAGGCCAATGTAGAAGCTGAGCAAAGGGTGAAGGAGTGCCCTGTCGATGTCGAGGTCGGCTCAGAAGAAGATCGCGCCGACAAACGGCCTCGTTTGGAGCAATCGGATGTGATTGTACCTTTTGTTATTCAGCCGAAGATGAAAAATACGCCGATCTTCTCCGATGCTTCGGTAATCAAAGATCCAGCGGTTGCACTTAGTTTGGCGATGTCCGTTTCACTGCCTGCTGATAAGGCGACTTTTTGGGCGGAGCCGGATCTGGTTGCAATTGCGTTGGCCGCGCAATCGGCTCTTTTGGTACATATCTTGACTCTGTCTTTTCTCCTTACACATTATTTTGGTTTTAACTTCCTATTTTGCAGACCGTCGAAAGGATAGCTGACATGGGCCATCGTTATCATAATGCGGTGGAGCAGATTGGTCGTTTACAAGCGGAGGTTGAGGGCCAAAGGAGTAGGGCGCAAATCGAGGGCGCTCGTGCCGAGGCCGAGTTGGAGAGAGCCCGTAATGCTGAGGATTTGAGATCAGTCATCGAGGAAAGGGTGAATGCGAGCGACGTCACGCTTAAATTGGCCCAAGAGGCGAATTCTAAATTGAAGGCTGAGTTGGAAGAGATGAAGGCGGCGAAGGAAACAGCTGACCTGAAGGCTTCCAGCGTATTTGATGCCGGGAAAAAATCTGCTTATGATGAATACGTAGACGAAGTCCCCAAATTTGAGAATCGGGGCTTTAAACACGGCTGGCTCAAAACCCTTGCTGCCGCTAATGTGTCTTTGGCTGTGCCAATTCCATATGAGCAAGTGGATGTTGAGCCGCTGGAGTCTGATTCCGATGGCTGATTTCAAACACGCTTGTTTTTTGTTTTAGGATTTGCGTGTGCTTTTCAGTTTTTTACAGTTTTTTGCTTAGTAATTTTCATATGTAAAATGGTTGCAATTTGTGCCCAATTTACTTAATGAAAATTCATTTTGTACCTCGCTGTTACTGATGAATGGAATTGCTTTGGGTCAAATGTTGTATAATTGCCGACTAAATGATTAGGACGTTTTAAAAGCCAGAAATTGGTGAACGAACTGGCTGCGGCACATATCGATCGGCATGAGGCCAGGGTACGTGGCCGACTAGATTAATAAATCTGCCCTTACCCTAGCCAGTGTATGCACTTCGAAGGCATTGATCAAAAATTGTCGTTTAGATAGTTAGGCCGTTTTAAATGCCAAAAATTGGTGAATGAATTGACTGTGGCACATGTCGATCAGCATGAGGCCAGGGTATGTGGCCGGCCAGAGTAATAAATCTACCCTTGCCCCAAACAATGCATGAACTTCGAAGGCATTGATCAAAAATTACCATTTAGATAGTTAGGCCGTTTTAAATGCCAAAAATTGGCGAATGAACTGGCTGCGGCACATATCGATCAGCATGAGGCCAGGGTGCGTGGCCGGCTAGATTAATAAATCTGCCATTGCCCCAGCCAGTGCATGAACTTCGAAGGCATTGATCAAAAATTGTCGTTTAGATAGTTAGGCCATTTTAAATGCCAAAAATTGGTGAATGAACTGGCTATGGCACATAGCGATCGGCATGAGGCCAAGGTACACGGCCGGCTAGATTAATAAATCTGCCCTTGCCCCAGCCAGTGCATGCACTTCGAAGGCATTGATCAAAAAATATCGTTTAGATAGTTAGGTCATTTTAAATGCCAAAAATTGGTGAATAAACTGGCTGCGGCACCTATCGATTGGCATGAGACCAGGGTACGCGGCCGGCTAGATTAATAAATCTGCCCTTGCCTCAGCCAGTGCATGCACTTCGAAGGTATTGATCAAAAATTACCATTTAGATAGTTAAGTCGTTTTAAATGCCAAAAATTGGTGAATAAACTGGCTGCGGCACATATCGATCGGCATGAGGCCAGGGTATGTGGCCGGCTAGATTAATAAATCTGCCCTTGCCCCAGCCAGTGCATGCACTTCGAAGGCATTGATCAAAAATTGCCGTTTAGATAGTTAAGCCGTTTTAAATGCCAAAAATAGGTGAATGAACTGGCTGCGGCACATATCGATCGGCATGAGGCCAGGGTATGCGGCCGGCTAGATTAATAAATCTGCCCTTGCCCCAGCCAGTGCATACACTTCGAAGGCGTTGATCAAAAATTACCATTTAGATAGTTAGTTTGGAGAGTAGCATTAATGAAACTGCCTCGGGGGCGCTGCAAGTATTAGAAATAAATGGGGGGTGGCTGTTTGCACCAGTGACTTCGCTTACTGAGTTTTCAAGGCAACTTATCGTGAATGGCAAATAGAGTTTTCTTCAACAGCAGAGGCGAAGGTCGAACTTTGGCTGAGCTTGATACTGCAATGAATCGCAGCAGAGAAGCCACTCGTGCGGGAAGTGGGGCGTCCAAAGAACGGGAAAAACGTCAGCCTTCAAGTCGTCGAAGCAGATCACCCCGAAAGGAGAAACAACAACGGGGAAGCTCTCCGCGACCGCGACCATTGAGTTTCGCAGTTTTTGTGGGGAACAGACCGATGACGGAGTCGGACTCCATTATCAGGGACCCAGTGGTGGCGGTCGAATTTGCTCGACAAATTTTTCCACCGGAGGTGCAGTAGTTGATGGTTGGCCGACAAGATTTCGACATCTTTTGAGAGGGAATCCATGAGGCGGTGAAGGGGCTGTACACCGCTTACGAAGTCGGCATGCGCCTGCGCGCCGAGCGCGAACTTAATGAGCTTAGGATGGCTAAAGCTGCCGAGCTGCACGTGGCGGGTCGATCTAATCCAATCGTGGACGAAAAGGTGACCCAACGGCTATTGAGTCATGCCATTGTCGATCGAGACACGGCTAGCATGTTTGCCGTAGAAAATGTGAGATCCAAAGGTTATAAGCAAGGCTTTCATGCGGGCCAGAAGGTCGGGATCGACAAAATGAAGGAGGAGCTTGTAGAGGAGGTCTGCCGATACGAGAATCGGGGATTTAAGCACGGTTGGATTGCGACACTTTAGGCTGCAGAGGTTCTTTAAGCAAAGGGTGTCGATTCGGCGTTGCCGCGGTACTGACGCAATCATTTTTTCTTTTCCGCCTTTGAGGTCAAAAAGAGCGACGATGAGGGAGAGGTAGCATAAAAATACTCGTTGTAATGTTCAAGCGCGGATTGCGCCGAAAATTATGTAATTACTTGTCAGATGAATAAGATGCTGTGTTGTTAATATTCTTGTTGCCTTATAATCACTTGTCAAATTGCGTAATTATGTAATTCTTTGGCATATATATGTTTGCATGTTTTGTGCTTTGTTGGACAGAGACTGTTCGAACGGTTTTAGCCGGTTCGTCCTAATGGAGCACGTCACTAAATATTTATTCGGTATGCTCGTTACATTGCCCAAAAACGGTGTTGATAAGACTCTGAATCCGGGATTTTCTTTAGGTATTTATTCGGCTCCAGGCTCCGGTTTGGACGACGTCATGCGCCGAAGGCGCTCCGAATCCGGAGACTTTGAGTGGCCCATCGTGATATCCACGAAGGGCGCTCCGAATCCGGAGGCTCTTTTGTCCCAACGGCGTCATGCGCCAAAGGGGCTCCGAATCCGGAGACTTTGAGTGGCCGGTCGTGATATCCACGAAAGGCGCTTCGAATCCGGAGGCTTTTATTG